GAGGGGAAAGGGGGGGGGCGCACTTTCGATCCCGCCGCCGTAAAGTGTAGCGCAGGAACCGTGGGGATCGAGAAACAATGAAGAGCCTCCTTGACCTTTCCGCTCCCTCATTCATTGTGTCTTACGGCACAAACGGCGCGGGGCGGAGGCGCCCGGGGGCGGCGGCCCGGACCCGGCGTCTGCATAACGTATTACCTAACACATTCCAGGGGGTTGGGGGAGGAGATGGGGATGGGAGAGGCACTGGGGGAAAGGGCGCAGAGAAAAGGCATCAACATACCGAGCCAGGTGAGGCCCAGCTGCAGCCCCTTGGACACGGACTCGTGCGGCAGGAAGGGCGTGATGATGTACACGACGAAGAAGGGCAGCCAGCACGCCACAAAGCCGCCCACCAGCATCCACAGCGTCTTGGCCGTCTTGGACTCGGCGCGGCGGAACGACGACACCCTGGGGCCGCCCGCGGACACCCCGGCGTACTGCAACAAGAGAGGAACAGAGCTGGAGACGGCACGAAGGCAAGCGTTGAAGTGCTCGGGAAGCTGCATTCCACGACCTCCTTCGTTAGACTGTACCGCACCTGCGGCCGGGTTGGGGATCGTCCAGAAAGCACACCCGCTTCCCTCAAATCAGGGTGCCCCACCGTTCCTCCCTCCACCGTACCGTGCCTCAAATTCATTCTGCTGATAAGACGGGCTCTGGGCGCCTGCGAGACTCGGGATGGGCCACCCCGCAGTACACGCGTGCACAGAAGACGATACGTTGCCTACCTATCAGGCGCCGTGAGGGCTACCCGAAGTTGAAATCGGTAGGTTGGTGGGGGCGAATGACGGACGTACGTACGTACTCTGTGGACGATCCCTTGCCCAGCCCACTCGCTACTGTAAACCCACCCCGAACTGCGAATGCAGAAAAGGGGTAAGGGGTTGCATCAGCCACCTGCTTGGCACACACACTTGAATCACAGACAGGAATGAGGCGAAATGCAAGCGAACTGCGTTGGGCAATGCACTCTGCCAGCCAGCCAGCCCAGAGGCTTTCTGCGGAGCTGTTGCACACGGGGCTTTCCGCCCGGATTGGGGCCATGGGAGGGCCAGCCGAGCAGCCCACCACCGAGCAGGCTGGCGGGGGAGGAACACTCTCTCACCGTGTGCTGGCGCTTGTGCTGGTGATGGTGGTGGTGGTGGTGGTTGTGATGGTGGTGGTTGAGGTCTGCTGGCTCGTTGCTGGGCGGGGTAGCCGGTAGGCACGACGTGCTCAGCGCCCCCAGTGATCCGCTGCCCGCGATCGTTCTGCGAGAGAGAGAGAAACAATTTGTCAAAGAGGCAATGCGATCACAGGAGATGTCACCTATAACATATCTCTAGCCTCTAACCGCTTGAAACATTCCCGACCTTTTATTACACCCTCAGTTGAGCAATGACCATACTCAATGGTAGTTGCAACGGTCGATAATCGGCTGATACACACTCTTTCGTGTGTGATATGGTATTTCAGGTGACGAAGTGTCCGACACTTTTATTGATCGTGCATCAGTGCTGTGCATCAGTGCTGAGGAAGCCCCTGTACGCCGCCCTCGGCCCTCGCTCTTCCTCACGCGTGCTTTATGTTGTGTTTTTTTTACGGCGGTACATGTAACGGTCGAGATACCGGTACGGCCGAGGAGGAGGGAAAAGGTTATCATGAAACTTTCCTCATTAAAAATCCTCGCCGCCCCCTCCTTGCTAAACCCCTTCTCCCCCCTCCATCGCAGCTGCTTTTGTCTGGCGCTCACACATAAATACTGTGGGCGCGTAAGGGGCGAGAGCAAGTTGGCATGGCGAAGTCCAAGACTTCTTTAGTACTAGGCGTTGCTTACACGGTTGTTAACCAGGCCCCATTTACTAGTGGTTGTGGTAAAACTGCACACACGCGAACAGCTAGGTTGCCTATCATTATCCTTCAGGCGCGCAGTCAGGATTTCATATTTAGCTCATGTGGCAAGCACTCTTGCCTACTGGGGGGAGGCGCTTTGCTTTGCCCACGAGGAGTAGCCCACAACGGGCTTATAGTGACCGACCCCAGCTACGACGTGCACCTTATTTGACCATAGCGCCCTACGCGGCCTTACGCCCGTAGTTTAGGCAAACCACCCGCACGTGTGGCAACACTGTGAAAAATATCGTCGTATATTTACAAAAAAATTGTAAACTCGAATTATAATTTAAGTTGTAAGTTTACGAGAGCACAATTTTTACTCGATAATGGATTTTAAGTCGATACGTACTGCATGTATTTTTACGATTACAAATTGTAATTTTACGACTTGTGTCAAGGAAAATTTTCCTGTAAACCTCCCTACTATTTTTCACAGTGCAACGGTGCAGCGGAGGGGTGAACCAGCCACCCACCTGCTGCTCTGCGAGGCCAGGTTGCCGTTGAGGCTCGCCACCTGACCGGGTATCTGGCTGGCCGCGCACGAGGCCCGGCAGCACTTCTGGCAGCGCCGCACGCCGGACCGCGAGTTGGACACGTCCACGTCGACGGCCTGGCCCAGCTGCGTGGCGGCGCCCGCGGGCTGCCCGCCGGAGCCACTGAACCGAACATCACACAACCATTTTACAACCTTCACAGCATACTTAAGCACTTCATTTTTAAGAGGAAAAACAACAACCAAACAGTTTCTTAAACTTTTTTAAAAACTTTTTGACAACATACGAATTGTTTTGCAAGATGGTAAGTATAGGCCGAGGTATTCTTGAAAAGAAATGGTGTGGGCTTATTTTCTTGGAAACCGGTCCCACTTTTACGTTACTCGTCCATCCCATAAATTGAGGCCCTCCGGGTCACTCAGTGCGACTCAGTGGTCACTCACCTCGAGTAGGAGCACGGCACGGGCGAGCGCACGTCCAGGGTCACGTCCCGCAGCTTGCGCGACGTCTGCAAAAGCGAAGCAAGAGTTAACCGCCGCGCTGGCGATACGGCCTGCTAGAAAAAGAAAACGGGGTGAAAGAGAGAAGGCCAAAACAACAACAAAAACAACGGAAAACTAAAAAAAAAACTGATACAAAAAGGCGAATGGGAAGTGGGGATTTTAATTTTCAAAACAAGTATTTTTGAAAAAGAATCTAATTTTGTTTAGAATGGGTGTCTCAATTTCTTTCATTTTTTTCTAGACATATTTCAATCTTTTCATTTTTTTTCCTGATAAAGTTTCAAAATTTTCTTTAAAATCCCTGTAACAGGAAACTTCGACAAAGTCGCCTCCCTCCTGGCCCTGGCCCTGCTGGTGCCAGGACCACGTGCCGTTGCCGCGAGCCTGCATTTACCTGCTTGGAGTCCCAGGCGCTGAGGTGGTCGTGCCGCCGCGCCACCACGCAGTGGATCTTGGCGTACACGTACAGCATGACGACCAGCGGCACGAAGAAGGAGCCCATGGCCGAGAACACCACGTAGCCCTCGTTCTGGTTGTAGCGGCACGTCTTGTTGCTGTGCCGGCCCGCCTCGTACCTGCGAGCAGAGAGGGAAAGAGTCCAGTGAGCTCGTGACGGCGCATGTGCTCGAGCACCACCGGGCGGGGCGGCGGCGCGTGACCCGGTGCCCTTAGGCAACTCGCCAGCACTGCACTCCTTTGCATTGGCTTGCGTACCGCGTACTTATCAGCACAGAGCAAGAGGAAGACCGAACAAAACTTCGCAAAAAAATATTAGGGCAAAGAACGAGCTAAGAATGTGATCGTATTCCCCTTTCCCCCTGCTCCTCCCACCCAGTCAAAAAATGGGCCGCAGAGGCCCTAACTTTGGATAAACTCATTTAGATTCCTCTCCGCTCGCTGCAATGCGAATCCTTCGCTCGCAAGATCCACAGCGACGTCGCGTGCCCGAGCCGCTCTGTTTGTCTGGCCTGTCGTCCTGCTGGGCCTCTTGTTTGTTTGTCCGTCTGTCCAGGTCTGTCCGCCGCCCCTCCCCCCTCTCCTCCCAGGCATTTGAAAAGAAGAAAGAGCGAGAGAGAAAGAGCGAGAGAGAAAGAGCGAGAGAGAAAGAGAGAGAGAGAAAGAGAGAGAAAGGGAGAGAGAGAGCAAGAGAGAGTGAGAGAGAGATGAATTCAGAGGACAGGGGAGCGGGGGGCATAGCGACGCCTCTTCGTTCTGCGTGATGCTGGTAGGGCTGTGCTCGGTCTTGTGGTGCGTCTGCCACGCGTCGAGGCCGACCTCGAAGTTATCGCTGCCAGAGCTGGCCTCCCTCCCCCGAAACGGGCCAACCAGGCACGCCCCCGTCCTGTCCACTGCCTGCAGATCTCATTTCAGCTCGTGAACTTTGTTTCCATCCCCGCAGCGCCTGTCTCTTTTTGAGTCTCTGTGCAACGCCATACGCCGCCGCGTATGGGCACGCGGGCGCCCCCCCGGGACCGCGGCCGACACGCCGCCCATACCACCCCGTCCCGCGCCCCGCGCCGTGGCGCTGGTGCCGAACAGGACCGCCGAGCGGGTCGGCCAGCCCGTTAGCAGGACTTTAAGCCTTAGCGGTCGAGGGACGGAGATGGTCTCCGCTGTGGCCGCTAGCCACGACCCGGCCCCGCAAGCAAGCACAGCGAGGCGACCAGCGGCGGACTGACCTGCCGGCGCTGCTGACCGAGCGAGCCGAAAGCCGACCAACATCCTTTCCGAGCCCTGCGTCCAGCGCGTCAACACCGGCGGGGGGCAAGGACAAAAATGATGATCACCGGGTTCCCCGTAAACTATTTGGTGCGGGGAAGGGAAGCTGCGCGGGCTGCAGGGGAGGCTGGTGCGACGCGCGGCTATCGGGCCGGTGAGGCCGGGTGGGAGGCGGACGACGCACGACGCCTCTTCTATACGGGGAACAAAGTCTGCGCCGCCTCCCGTGTTGTCTCGGAAACCAATTTTGTGATTGGGGCGGTTCGATCAGGTGAGGTGAGGGTAGGGTTCGAGGAAGGCGACCGCCCGACGACGGTACCTAGACCATCTGAGGCAGTCCCCTCCCTCCTCCCCTCCTCCCTTCTCATCTCCCGAGGATACACTGCTTGTTTGTTTGCTCCGGGGCGCCGCCGACAGAGCAGCCTCCGCCCGCCTGAGCACCTCTTCCACACGGACAGCACCGCCCCGCGCGCCACCGGGGAGGACGACCCTCACTCCGAGTCGCCTAATTCGTCTCATCCTCCTCTTCTCTCGCCTGTGAAGGACGCGAGAGCCGAGGAAAGAGAGTCAGAGGGGGAACGGAGAGCGAGAGAGAGAGAGAGAGAGAGAGAGAGAGAGAGAGA